CTACACCCATGCAAACAGCAGCAGATTCATTCACCCTCCAGAATGGGAGGAAATTTCAGTCAGAAAGGGAGGAAAAATCAAATTAGGTGATTTTTTTTTCCAGTTTCTTTGACAGTAACTAAGAATCCTCAGGGAAGAATGAGGTCTGGGAGATGAAAGCCCTGTGTGGTGTCTCCAAACTCTGGAAGCTTGATTTTCATGTAGGCAGACAAGGTTTCTTGGGTAAATGTGATATCTTTTATTAGACCAACTAAATGGTTGGATGGATTGTTCTTTGAAAGCTTTCAAGTACAAACACCCTTCTTTAGCATGTACACATACTGCTGTGGCCAGGTGAAGGGACTTGAAGCTGCTTCCTCACTTTCAGAGCAGCATGAGTGCATCTTCGAGAAGCAGGCACAAATGAGGATCAAGCCCTAGAAGATTAACATCCTGGCAGTTTTGCGTATTTGCTGCTTTCACTTCCAGCAGTTAATGCATCACAAATAGAGGTGAGTAGCTGTGTTAGTTGAAAGTTGGGCAGAAGGCAGGGCAGGGTGGCACCTGTAGAAACTAACTTGTTCAGAGAGACATAAGCTTTCATTTGTCAGATGCTTCATCCCAGCATCTGATAATGTAGGCTGTAGCCTAACAAAGCGCATGCCTTTCTGAACATGTTAGTCCAGTGGTTCTTAATCAAGGTGGGTGCCATGGGGTGCTATGTAATGTTAGCTCTATTAGGTGTGCAAACACCTATATGTGATTCACAAGACTAAAACCAGAGGTTTTAAATAGAAATCCATATTGTCACAAACATTCTGTCCTGTTCTTGGCTTTTTGAGTTCTTTGCAACAGAAGAATGGCTCCGGTATTTTTCAGTAGTCAAAACAAAAAACGCTGCCTGGAATCTGAATAGGTTGAGAATTAATGGGTTAGTCTGTAACGGGTGGGCAATTATTAAGGCCTCCAGGCCACATAGGGAGTTTTGGGGAGCTGTTGTGGGCCAGGTCAGCACCTACCCTGCCCTCCCCCTCTGATAACAGCTCACTGAACTTCCCTGCGCAGGATGGGGCCATGGGTGGGCAGGGAGCTGGCGTGGACACAGGTGGGCTGTTGTGAGCACTGGTAGCAGCAGTGGTGGGGAGGAACCACAGGTCAGCCCCAGCACGGGTTCCAGGTCTGGCTTTTTCCTACCACTGTTGCTCATCAGGGCTAAAGTAGTCAGATCCTGAGCAGGCACTGCAGGGACCCTGCCCCCCCCCCCCC